ATGCTCATAGAAGATTGTCTTTTTGGTATAGAACTACTTAGTAGGTGTAAATAAAAATCTGAACACCTTTGACACTTACTATTACATTGTAAGCCCTCCATAGGCAGGAACTGTCTCATTTCACTCTTGTATTTATTAAAGACCTGCTGAGAACAAGCACAGTGCCTTCTATGTTTCCAGCATGTTGACAGACTGAGTTCCTAACTGGCTAAATGATCATGGCCCACCCTTCTGTCCTGTCTCTGCTTTTCCCAAATGGTTTACTGCAATGACTCTCTTCTAGGGGTGAGGTTATATACAGCATCCAGAAATGACAAATTTTGGGTTTTCAAAATGCTAAGTCATTTCCTTTGGCTGCTCAAGGTGACTAATGCAAAGTGAGCCTTTACTGTCAGTGAAAGTATGGCACCAATCTTGTGTGGGAGAGAAATCTGGCATGCAGAAGGGATCCTCGAGCTATGCGTGATGGATCAAGGAAACTGGGCCAATGCTGTAGAACTGGGGAAGAGCTCAGACTTTGGGGTCTCAGCACACTTCTCCCCCAGGCATTCTGTCTCTGCTCAATGGGGTAAAGTCTGTTGGGAATGGTGGATGGAAGGGAAGATGGAAGGCAGATGGAATGGTGGATGGAAAGGTCACTGACTGGAAAGATGAGGCCTATGTGCAGTAACAGACTAGATGGAGGGGCAGAGGGTAGTGGGCACCACAACAGGGTTTTCTTAAAGACAATTACTGTTCTGCCAGACTCTTTATGAAATACATTCCCACTGAACCACTCTTCCCCCATTCCCAACTGCCACGGAGAACAAAGTGTATCTCTCCATGATGAACCTTGGTTTACACTTCCTTCTCTTTTTCTCTCTCTCTATTATTCATCAAACAATTCAATTTAACACCTTCTATGTGGATGGCACTTAGGTAGATAACCTATATGTGACCTATACCCCTCAAGGAGCTTACAATCTTCTGTGGGAGGGGGACTACCTGGAAAAGAACCAGGAATATGTACAACATTTGGGACTTCATCCCTGAACAGCTCATTGGTCCTGAAGGCAATGTAGGCGAGCCCAACTGCAGCTCGGGCCTGCATTCCTGCTTGGGCCAACCCTGTTCTTTTTGTCTTTGCTCTTCACTCAGAGCAAGATTTCTTATCCTTAGTGTGTCATGCTGTTTACATATCTGTCTGCTCTCAAGTATTCAGGCTTTTGAATCAAGAAAGATATCATTTCCAAAGCAACATTATAATTATCTGTAATGAGTAGTAACACAGATACAGTGAAAAACATAATGGTTGGAAGAAATTAATAGGCAGCTTTTTTATCTTTAAAAGAGGTGAAAATATCCACCTCACAGAGACTAGTCAGCCAATCATTCAATAGGTATTTATCGAATACCTACTCTAAGCCAGTCATTGAGGATACAAAAACAGCCAGTCAATAAACATTTATTAAGCACCTACTATGTGCCAGGCACTGTGCAAAAGGCTGGGGACATAAAAAGAAGCAAAAGATAGTCCCTGCCCTCAAGGAGCTCACATTCTAATGCAAAGGTGGTAGGGCATCAGAAGGAAACAATTACATATAAATGAGCTATATACAGGATCAATAGGAAATAGTTATGAGGACAGCATGAGAATTGAGAGAGGTTGGGAAAGACTTCCTGTAAAAGATGGGATTTTAGTTGGAACTTAAAGGAATCTATGGAAGTCAGTAGGTAGAAATGAGGAAGGAGAGAATTCCAGGCATGGCAGATAGCCAGAGAAAATGCCTGGAGCCAAGAGGTAGAGGGTCTTATTCATGGAACAGCCAGGAGGCCAGTGTCACTGTATCACAGAGTCCGTGATGAGGGAGGAAGATATAAGAAGAATGAAAGGATTGGAGGGGGCTAGGTTAGGAGGGACTTTGGATGTTAAATGGAGGGTTTTGCGTTTGACCCTCTAGGTGATAAGAAGCTACTGGTGTTTATTGAGTAGGGGAGTGACAGAGTTGGACTTGTGCTTTAGGGAAATGATTTTGTTGCCTGAATGGAGGATGGAGTGGAGTGAGGAGAGATGAGGCAGGTGGCACCCCTAATACGTCATTGAGACAGTCAAAATATGAGGTGTTGAGGGACCATACCACGGGTGTGGTGGTATCAGAGAAGAGAAGGCGGGGTATTCAAGATATGTTGCAAAGTTAACATTCGCAGGCCTGGTAACAGATCAGATACGGGGGTATGTGAAAGACCGCGAAGAGTCAAGGCTGGCTTCTAGATGGTGAGCCTGAGGGACTCACAGGATCGTCTCCCCGGCTATAGTAACAGGGAAGGTAGGAGGTAGACTTAGGGGGAAAGAGAATGAGACTAGCTTTGGATATGTTGACTGTGAGATATCTACTGGAAACCCAGTCTGAGATATTTGCAAGGCACTTGGAGGGCAGCAGAGACCTCCAAGGTAGATTTGAGAATCATCAGCATAAAAAGGCAGTTAAATCCATGTAAGCTAGAGATCTCTAAGTAACGTAGTTTGGAGGGAGAAGACGAGAGGACCCAGGAAAAAGCCCGGGGGGACACTGGCTATAGGAGATGATCTAGAGGAGGATTCATCAAAGGAGACAGAAGAGTGGACAGATAGGTAGGAGAAGAACCAGGAGAGAGTGGTGTCCTGAAACTCTAGAAAGGAGAGAGCATTATTGTGATGAACACCCCTTTGCAGATCCATACTACATCTGAAAATCCAGCCCCAAATCAGCATAAGCTCACATGAGTTAAGTGGTTAGGTGGTCAAATGGGTTGGGTTTTCGGGCTATATGTCAAACTCATGTCAAAGGAGAGACATTGGGATGTGCTCTTTAGAGCCTGTGTGCATGAAGTGGTGACCAGGTGTGCTGCAAACATGGGTATCCTGGAGCCATGCCCTCAGTCCGAGCCATGGGCATTTAGTGTCAACCTAACCCTTCACCTCATGTCTTGGAGCTTATTTCTTCAGATCGTGGGGAAGGCAATCATCTCTATTGCCATATTTCCCAGGGGAGGAGATTCTGGAGGTCAGGGTCTCTCTCATACTTTTTTCTTTGTGTCTTTGGTGCTTAATACCATGACTGACACATAGCAATTACTTAAGAAATGTCACTTGACCAACTGACTGATTGACAAGGGTGTTATGGAGAAAGGGTGCCCTGAGAAATGGCGCCTCTCAGCACTACCCCCCTCCACCATCATAGCATTAACACAGCAGCCCTGGAGGGATGAGGCAGTCCCAGGACTGCCCACACCCAATGTTTGGTGCCCTTGCAGGCTGGGGACCTCAAGCCAGACTGCTTGCTTCCCAGCTTAGTCAGGTGAGTCATGACCACATCCAAACTCTTCCTTGTTCCCCCTTGACTTCCCAAGATATCAAAGCTTCAGTTAGGGATTTGTTAGGACAGCGTGTAATGTCAGGGACGAGAGCTAGATTCAATAGCCCGGGAGCAACAGGAAGGCTTACAAGCAAAGAGGAAAACATTGTAATAGAGTTGGAATGGTAAGAAGGAGCGAGTCCAAGGAAGGACCACCTTTATGTAGCTACCTTTCCTTTCCTTTTATGTCATTTCATTTAATAATACATTCCTCTCTGTCCCTTATCTAACAAGATTTTCCTTGTAAGGAAAAAAAAATAATATGAGGAGAAAAAACAGAAAAGAAAGAAAAAACAGCAATTCAGCAAAACTAACCAATGTATTAACTGAGTCTGATAGTGTATGCAATTTTCCACACCCATAGTCACCCACCTCTACAAAGAATATATTTCCTCATCTCTTATTCAATCGATATAGTTATACAATGTTTCCTTCCTCCCTCCCCTTTTCTTTCCTTCCTTCCTTCCTTCCTACAATACTGCTGTTATGCACATTGCTTTCCTGATTCTCCCTTCTCATTTTGCATCAATTCATATTGTCCATGTGGTCTTCCCAAGCTTCTCTGACTGCTTCACATTTATTGTTAATAACATTCCATTCCATTCACTTACTGTGATTTGTTTAACCATCTTCTGATTTATTGATATCTGCTTTATTTTCAGTTCTTTGCAAAGTATGGCACAAAGTCCTTCCATGACTGTTTTGGGGTACAAAGGACCTTTCTTTCTGTCTTTGACATCTTTGGCACACCTGCTCAGCACTGCAAAGAGGAGGGATTTCTCATTTGGCATTTACCTTCTACAGACCTCTAGGTCTTGGCCAAGTTTGTGCCCATGACTGACTCTTGGACTAGAACAGAGGCTCCTGGAGGGTGGAATCCTTGTCTTAGAATCCCTTTATTCCCCACATATGGTGTCATATGGTGTCTTATATGTAGTCAGGCATATATATATTTTTTTTTCACTAAGAGAAAAAACTAGGATCTTATTACAAAATCACCTTGCTTAGAATGTAAGCAAGTAGTGAGGTAGCACTACTGTAGTAGCAGGTAGTGAGAGACAGGTAAAAGCAGCCATCCTCCCTCCTTCCCATAGTGGGCTTTAATCATTTTTAATCACAATTAGAGCTAAAAGGAGCCTTGAAAACTTTTTTTTTTTTTCTGAGAGTACAAATGGGAAAGGCCCTACTGTCTGGGCTCAAGCAGTTTGTGTCCTTCTGTCTCAAGTATCCGGGTTGGTTCTGGTGCTGAGTACTAACATTACTCAGCTCCTGTGCCAGCTGAGCTGTTAACTTGGATCTTGGTGAACTCGCAACTCATGTATTCCTACTAGGTGGCAGTACATATATAGAAATCAGTCTTATGCTTTGGTCCTGGTTTCCTGCTCCACTGTCTTTCCCCCCTTGTTCTTAAAGTCATCACAATGCAATATCTATGAGAAGGGAGAAACAGTCTTGCCATCCCTTTGAATGGATGCTGATTGGATGCATGCTTATGATACGGCTCTTTGGTTGTTTAATTTTCAGTCTGTGGTAATGGAGGCCCCACCCACATGTATCTTGGCTCCAAACAATACTCTTTTCCTGCAGAGATAAGAATGCCATCTCTCTTCTTTTTTTCCCTACTAGGTCACATGTGCCAATTTAACGAATGGCGGAAAGTCAGAGCTTCTAAAATCTGGAGGCACCAAATCCACCCTAAAGCACATCTGGACAGAAAGCAGCAAAGACTTGTCCATCAGCCGGCTTCTCTCACAGACTTTTCGTGGCAAAGACAATGGTACGGACTTGGACCTGCGCTATGACACCCCAGAACCTTATTCGGAGCAAGATCTCTGGGACTGGTTGAGAAACTCCACGGACCTTCAGGAGCCTCGGCCCAGAGCCAAGCGACGGCCCATTGTCAAGACTGGGAAGTTTAAGAAAATGTTTGGCTGGGGTGATTTTCATTCCAACATCAAAACTGTGAAGCTCAACCTGTTAATAACCGGGAAAATCGTTGACCACGGTAACGGGACTTTCAGCGTATACTTCCGGCACAATTCCACCGGGCAAGGCAACGTGTCTGTGAGCTTGGTGCCCCCAACCAAGATTGTAGAATTCGACTTGGCCCAGCAGACGGTGATCGATGCCAAAGATTCCAAGTCCTTTAACTGCCGGATCGAGTACGAAAAGGTTGACAAGGCGACCAAGAATACGCTCTGTAACTATGACCCTTCCAAAACCTGTTACCAGGAGCAGACACAGAGCCATGTGTCCTGGCTGTGCTCTAAGCCCTTTAAGGTCATCTGTATTTACATTTCCTTTTATAGTACCGATTACAAACTAGTACAGAAGGTGTGTCCTGACTACAACTATCACAGTGACACGCCCTACTTCCCTTCGGGTTGAGGAGGAGCCAGTGTGGGTAAGACTGAGGCCTGAGGAATCAAAAAGGTCATATGACAGGGCTGTTACTACAAAGGAGAAGGTCCCATCTGGGGCCTGGATTGTGTCTACGATGCTGCTGTTGTCCACGGGCTGCCAAGATCCCAGGGGGGACAATCTGGTGTCATTTCTGCCCATTGGCTCCATCTCTCAGTGTAGTTGTGAATCACTGCAGGTTTTACATAAAATCACCCCAAGATCACATACACACAGACATACATGTACATGTACACACATATTTTGGCTCGCATTTATTGGGACCCCTGTTTAGAGGTCTTTTAATTCTTTGGGTCATAAGGTTTTAGATAACCAACCGAGGCAGAAGGGAATAGCTAGGCAGAATTGGGCTCTGACAGGCACTGGAGTAGAGATATCCTTCCAAATCTTAAATCCATGGAAATCCATCCTTCCCTCTCACGCGTGCTCCTGCTTCGGATAGCTGCTCTGGTAACCAATACCATAGGCCTAACTGCTTGTGACAATGGAACGCGTGTTTCTAGAGCTCAGTATTCCTTCCCAAATGAACCCACCCACCTAGCATCCTGTAGGCACATTTGAGGGGGCCATAGGAGGCCTGCTCTGTATAAAGATAAGTAAACCTTTGGAATTTACATGTGGGCACATATTGAGATTTCAGCTTTTGCCCCTGGTCATTGGCATTGGCAGAGTTCCACTTAGAAACTCCCCAGCCACTAGATCTCGAGGGGACATGCCCAAGAGACAGACGACATGTAAGTTGTAAGTGGCCATCTTATCTTTACTCCACACATTGTAACAAACTCAATATCCTAGTCTTCATTTGTATGAATGGTTTGTATTGTACATAGTTTATCCCGTGTTATTTCAGCAGCTTATTAATATTAACTTGTACTTGTCTCTCTGCTTGTTATTGGTTATAAAAGAGAAAGGGAACGAGGAGGAGTCTGAGTCCATGTTAGCAATGTAGCCGTAAATCCCCAAGCAAGACAGAACTCTGCATCCAGCACTTACTCAGCTAACGGATTGTTGGAAGCGATACATATACACAGCATTACAGTCTGTCTGTAGTTAGAGTTTTATTTCTGGACGAAGATGAAATGTACATAGAAATAAAATACTTAAAGTTCAGTTTCAATATGTCCTGTGTCAGCGGTGATTTCAAAGGCTCCCGTGAGAAGCTGGGATTGGACTCATCACAGTTTTGCGCCTACCAGCCCTGCTTGTGTCTGGAGCTATGGGAATGACTGGTAGTCACCTGCACGGGACAGCTCAGGAGGGTCACGTGGGTGGGGGTTGCTGAGCACCCTCTGAGGTCCGGACCCGGAAGGCCAGGGTCTCTGGTATCCTCTGGTTTGATAAACAGCCAAGTTTCTAATGCATCAAAAAGCCATTCTATGTCTGTGTTGATGGTGAGTGGGTAGGTGGGAGTTTTTTTGTTGTTTACTCTTCTTTTCTGAGTTGGGATGGGGGATAGCAGGAGACTACCAAAGCTTGGGTTGGTCCTGCTGCAGTGACTCAGCACAACCCAGGAAAAGTGGGACAGCAGTGTTGTCAGAAAACTTGACAGCTGGATTTACCTTCCCTCAGATGGGGCTGACACCTATAAGGCACTGTTTACTGCCGTTAAATGTGGCATTTTTCTGTGGCACACAGCAGATCCCAACAAATAAACAGAAGTAGAAAACAGGAAACTTCACTTTTGAAAACTCCACTTTTGGGGGCAGGGAGAGAGGAGAACCCCAGACTCATACAAATGTCTCAAGTCCAGTGTATACTTGGCCAAGAATCTCCTCTACAATACCCCCCTCTACAACACCCCCAACAAGTGGCCAGCCAGCTTTAATTGATGATCTCCAGTGAGATAGAACCTATTTCTTCATGGGGTATCCATTCTGCTTTTGGGTAACTCTAAATATGAACAGTCCAAGAAAAGGGGCTGTTCTATCCTTAACATAGGGCTCAAATTGAAAAAAAAATCCAAAAATAACAAAATGTGCCATTATTTTCTATGTGGACTTTTTAAATACAACCCCCACGGTAGCCTACCTGTTCAATGGTCATATAGGGACATTCACCAATGGACATTCACAACTTTTGATAGTAACAGGGTAATTTGGCATAGACTTTGGCAGGGATAGCTCCTGAAGAATTGTTACTGAATAGTCACAGACAAAGCCCAAACTCTGTTTCCAGCTACCCCAAAAACAGGAGCCACAGAGAAATAAGTTGCAGGTGCTACGGTCTATTTCACTGGCCAAAGAGATCACCTCAATATAGATGCATGTTCTGTCTTCTGGCAGTCACTGGAGTGAGTACAGGAGGTGAGAGGAAATCCATTTCATTTTCAGGTTGCCCACTCTTCTGTGGTCTTCTCTGAATTTTAACTTTGGGCTCTTTAGTCCTAGGGGTATTTGTTGGTTTCAAAGTGGCTTTCTGGGTGAGACTCCCACCCTTTTTTCTTTCCCTCCACAGGCTGATTCTTTTCCCCTCTTTTTACAAAAAGAAAAACCTGAATTAGCTGCCACACCACTTATTCAAATTTGCTTCTGGGTTCTTCATTTAAGAGAAGGAAGTAAAGAGGAAGTAAATGAATGAACACAAGAAGCTTAATTAAGCAAAGAGGTAAAGAAATGAAAAGGCTGATATTCTTAGATTAGCAGCCTCTCTTCACCCCTCCCCACTCACGTCCTTCCCTCTAATCTCCTACATTTTCAGGGTCTATGGCTGCAACCCAATGAACTCATGATGGTTATTTTGGGGGCTGTGAAATCACAAGGCCCCAGGACCCCAAGGAGGCATTCAGTGACACCCTGGGTTCTCTGCTTTCTAAGTCAGGATGTGGATTTTTAGGAAAAGCAAGCAAACATTAGGAAAAGAAAAAAAAAGCTTTCTGTTTGAAAGCCCTCAGTGTGTGGCCCTTTCTGAATAATCTGAACTTCTATCTTCCCTTCACTTGACTTAATGACGACTTTTCTCACTCTAGTACAGGAAGTTTTTACTTGAGGAAAGGCTAGTGCTCAGCATTCTCAGGCTACAGACTTTTCTTCACACCACTGACATCTGATATCCCCAGGGTTCTAACATGGCTACTTAGAATTATTCATTATTCAGACATTTCAGTCTTGTCCTGCTCTTTGTGACTCCATTTGGAGTTTTTATGGCAAAGATACTGGAGTGGTTTGCCATTTCCTTCTCCAGCTCATTTTACAGATGAAGAAATTGAGGCAGACAGGGTGAAGTGACTTGCCCAGGGTCCCACAGCTATGAAGTGTCTGAGGCTGGATTTGAGCTCAGGTCTTCCTGACTCCAGGCCCTGCACTTTATCCACTGTACCATCTAGTGCATGAGAATACTGATAAACATTCTAAGACAATAAATAATAAAACAAGATAATAGTTTGAATAATAAGAGAAAGGCACCAAGCCTAAGCCTTTCATAAGGAGGTGGGTAAGGCTGGAGCAGAGCATGGAGCTGCCTTCTGCTATCATTCTCTTCTAGAGAATTTTAGCAAGATAGAAATGAATTGTTGCAATGGGGTCTTTGTGAAGAATGACAATGCCGTGCCTGTGTGTGGGGGAGGGCTTTGCTGGTTTCCTTCAATTAACAGCCCTGTGACCTGAGCTATGGTAAGATCCTTAGCCCCATTTCACAGAGAATCAAGGGCCAGTGTAGGGATGCCCTTTGACTTGCTCGGGGCCACATGACCAGTAAATGAAAGAGTGGTGACTGGGCCCTGAGTCTGGCCCATGAGAGGCACCAGAAAGTTTTGTTAATGAAATCAAAATTGAAGACTCCAGATTCTAGCCCTGGGCTCTGCCTTCTTACTGCTTCTTGCTCAGTGACAATGGAAGGGCTTCTGCTGGGGGAAAAAAATGTCTCAAGTAAGTTACTAGCTTTTTGAGTTTGATTTTGACCATGGAAAAGGATTCCTGGTATAATGGATTTGGATTCAGAAGATTTGGGTTCAAATCCTGGCTACGTTTCCTGTGTGACGTTGAACAGATCATGTCTCCAGCTTGAGTCTCCTTTTCCCTCATCTATAAAATGAGAGATTTAGGCAAAATCATCTCCAAGATCTTCCAGCTCCAAACTTCACTGTTGTATGTGGAGATCTCATGGTCTTGGGTGACAGGAGGCATCCCCTTGTATCCCTGGCTTCTTACATCTTTCTAAAATTCCACTTGTCCATCCTGGGAAAATGTAGTGTTCTTTGTTTTAGGAAAAAAAAGAAAGAGAAATCCTTACCATATTTTGGTGCAGAAGAGAGTAAAACTACATCAGAAAACTGAAAAAAAAAGTTCTTTCCTTTTGATTTTCCTTCCCCCCCCATACTCCTTAACATTTAGAAGGTGGGGAAATCTATGCCAGCTGCTCTTTGGAAAAACCAGTTTGCCCTTGAAGACCACGGTAAATGCTGGGCATGAGCCTGGCACATGTTTCAGGCCCAGGGAGGGCCTCTTGATTGCTCTGGAATCATACCTTTCATCTTTTTATGTCATTCAGATCATGCTGATTCATCTCAAAGGCTCAGTAAGGATTGCACTTACTTTTCTTGTGCACAGGGGGCCTGGCCCAGGCCAGGAATCATCCCCATCCAGACTGCAGAGCCGTGTGGGGAACGAGGAGAGCTATTGGGCTTCCTTGGGAACATTGCTATCCCAGGGCTATTGCCGGGGCTTGTTATAGATGAGGAAGAAACCTTGTTCTTCATGCCTTCACCTAGTCTCACTTCTAATCCCCCGGGAGCCCTTCAGCAGAGCTTAGGAAGACAGTGAGTACAAGAGTGGAGAATGGTGTTTTAAAATCCCCTTGCATGTGGATGGAATGAGCTACCTGCCTTCTCAAATGACCAGCTGGTATTGACTTACCCGGTACTTGCTATATTATCTCAGGACAGTTAGCTCTAGCACCTCCTACTTCTGTAGTTAGTACAGAGTAGGTGCCTAGGAAATGCTTGTGTGAAAAGTGCTTAGGGCCAGAAAAACCCAGGGACTGAGTCCCACCTCTGAGACCAGCTGTGTCATATTTGGCCAGTTGTAAAAACTTTCTGGCACTTTGTTTCTTAATCTATGAAATGTATTTGTAAGCATTCATAGGGCTTTTATAAGAATACTTTTTTAGAACTGAAAATTGGATGCAAATCTTGGCTTTGATTAAGGTAGAGGATAGCTTTCCCACAGAGGAGGGAGGTGTGCCTTCTGAAGAAGAAGCAGCTTCTTCAATTGATCAGTAAGTATTGAAGGGCTGACTACGTGCCAGATGCTGAGGATGCAAAAATGAAACAACCTCTGTTCTTAAGGAGTTTATATTAGTATAATAAGGGTGGAAGACAAGTACCAGAGTGTACTTGCATGAAGTAATTAAATACCCACAATCCCATACACTTAGTTGTTCACACAGTAATTAGACACAAGATCTTTTGGGAGTGGGGACATTAACAATGGGGAGGGTGGGTCATAAAAGACTTCATGAAGAACATGGTGCCTGAGCTGTCTATGTGAGAAGGACTCTGAGGCCAAGGTAAGCTGGAAATGCATCCCAGGAAGGTGTCATACCCAGTTTGGAGATGGGGGATGGAGTGTTAGGAGGGAGGAACAGAGAGATGATGGTTTTGGTTGGAACACAGGTTCCTGGAGAAGAAGTAATGTGGAATGACACCATAAATGTTGGTTGGGGCTAGATTGTATTGAGGTTTTGAAAGCTTAACCATATTTTATTCTGGAGGTAATAAGGAGCCTCCGGAATTGGTCAAGTAGGGAAGTCAGACAGTCAGATTGACTGTTAAGGAAAAAAATTACTTCTTGTCTTATAAAGACAAATGATGTAGATACAGAGATGCTGTCAGATGAAAGCCAGTGTGGGTCAGAGAAAGAGGAGGGATAATAGTTATGTCTCCTGGCTCCTTGTTAAGGTAAAAGGTGGAAAGCAGTTAGTTTTTGAACTGACATTAAAACAGATGGTTGTGATCTTCCCAGCACGCATCTGGGATATGATGGAGCATCTCTCAAGACTGGTCAAACTGATGATGATGTGGGGCCCCAAATGATACTGCCTGAATGGCCTGAGGACCTTTGGGGGATGGGGTGAAGTGGTAGCATTGCTGCTTGTTATGGTCCAGGAAGTCAGATGAAAATG